ACTTTTAGACCTAAGGCAGTTGTAACCTTAGGGGAAAAAATTGTGGCTAGCACCACTGTCCACTAGCACCTCAACATCCATATTCATCAACTTCCTTCGATCTTCATGGTATGAAACTCTCCCGTGCTCCCTAAAACTCCCATCACTTTACATTCAGCTTCTGCCTCTTCCTCCTCCTCAATTTCACTAACCTCCATGCATATAATCTCCACATCGTCGTTCACACTTTCCCCTTCACCCAGAATCAACACTCTTAAACTCTTCTCAGGGCACTCGTGAAGGGTAGGGTGGAACTTACCTCCACACTTAAAACAAAGTCCCTTTGCTCTTCGCTCAACCATCTCTTCATTGTGGAGACTCTTCACAACCTTCCACGCTCCGACGGTGGTCGGAATCGCCTTTTCTTCCTGTGGAAAGCATTGAGGAATTAGAACTATGATTGTACCCAGTGGAACCCGTATTTTGATTCGGGTTGGATCCACCCGATTGAGACACCCGGGTTAAATCCTTGTTAGACAGGTTATACTCACTCGTATTTTTGTTTGTAGGCCCAGCCCACTCACTACTACCCCAAACAGTCCATTCCTTGCTTCTTCCTGTAACTTCTTTCTCCGTCTTTGTCTTCCTCATTCAATTCATTCTTTACATCTTTAGCAATTCGCATTATCTGCATCTATGTCACAGGATTCAGAGTGCGAACATGCCTTATAATTGGAGGTTTCAATCCCACTCATGAAATACCCTAAATATTGCTCCTCCACCAATCTTCCCACATGTGATGACAACAACTCACACGCCTCCATATGTTCTTCCACGCTGCCAGTTTGCTGCAAGGTGGATCGCTTCTCAAATGGATTTTCTAATCGGCGACGGCCGTAACACGCGATCAATGATTTCTTCAATTTCTCCCAGGACAGATCGTCCTCTGTTTCCATGAGTAAGTTAACCAATGGATTGTTGCACCCTCCATGCTCAGTCGAGCCAATTTCACCCGCATCGCATCCGATGTATTCTGAACATCGAAGTAAATTTCAGCTTGTGTGATCCACGCCACCGGGTCACCCCCTTCGAACAAGGGAAGTTTCACCTTCTTCCCAGCAAGACACGATTCACTCTGACGAATCACCAAAAGATGTCTCTGCCTCCTGTGTTTTCTTACCAGTCTGTTTGCTCAACTCAGTTAATAATACTCTGTTGTTGCATTTGCAGAGCCAACCTCTGCAGAGTCGTTGTTACATTCTCCATCTGCTTCTCCAAAGCTTCAATCCGGTCTCCCATCTTAGGTTTCCTTGGCATCTACAATCTCTGTCGGTAGGGTTTTGATCCGGCAGGTCGGACCAATTGATGGGTTATGAGTTAGGAATAACGAAGTAACAAATAAACGATGGAAAAAATACTGTAATTGTATTATTGTGGATGAACAGTTACAGAGAAATAGCAATGATGAAAATAACAAACTGATAGAGAATATCTATCAGCCCCTAAGCACGCAGTGCTTCCCTCACCAAGATGGTGATCCTTAACCCTAATAGAATAACTAGATACCTACTTCCCTCTCTTCCTTTCCTATTTTATAGAAACAAACTTAATTGATTAATATCTCTCTTCCCTATTTTATCTCCTATAATTATTATAACCAACTCCTATAATTATAGTAACAACTCATATAATTATCTCTCTCTTCCTTCCCTATTTTATAATAACAAATGATGGCCCACCCTACCAACCACGTTTCTATCATTTTTCTATATATTTTTTGATATGATCCATGGGTTTTGAATGCACTGTATGCAAATTGCATCTCAGTCCAAAAAATAAATATTAATGATAGAGCTGTTGATATTACAGTTCATTCCAACAACATTGACCCTTGATCCAGGAGTAACCAGACCACCTCCTCTTCTTAGTGAAGCAGATTTGCTGAGTTGTATGGACAAGGCAAGAATGATATTTGAATCTTACAGACTTAATCATATAATTAGCAGTATCATCGTTTCCTGCCTGTAAGTCAAAATATGTTTCATTAAATATTGACAATTGTATAGGAGGGCATTGGTACGGATGCTACAATGCATGATCACATCAAGAAGCTGCTTGAACGGTTTTATGCAACTAAGGATGCTAACATGCGTTTCACACCAACTAATTTGGTAAGCTCATATTGTTGATTTTGAAAGGAATTTTTTTTCTTTTTTGTCAGTGATCTCCAATCTTCATGCCTTTTTTCATGGATTGTTGACTTGTTTTACTGCTGTTATGAGAAGTTACCGTGTAAGGTTAGTAGAGGATATAGAAAGTAATTAATGAACCATTATGGGATTAATTCTCTCTAATGAAAGTGATATTATGTTCACTGTTGGAGCATTATTCTACAAATTTGTGATAGTAACTCGAAGATTTATGGATTGGGTTCTATGAAGCACAAACACCCCGAACACGACCCCGACACTAACACGGCGATACTAGCTATAATTTGAAAAAATGAATAAGTTAAACATAATAACAAGTGTCGGTGCAGGTGTCCCCTCCAACATGGACACACACATTTTTACAGAGGTGTCGGTGCTACTTAGATTGGGTCTAACTCAACCATACAAAACCGCCTTCTAAGGTGAGGGTTGCCCAAGCTTTATAAACACTACACATGCCTATCTCTAAGCAATATGAGACTAAATCCACATCTTTAAACCGAATACAATGAAGGTGTTGGGGGTTGCAATGAATGCAAGGCAAATGCCACGATTGAGCGACTAGGGGCGAATCACAATGAAGGCGGAATTTTCAACACCCCCCCTCACGCTCAGGCCACAACTAGCCCGAAACATAGACGTTGTGGGAAGCCCAAGAGCAGATCTAGGATAGGCTGAGGCAGTGAGATACCATCTTAGAATTATGGATTAGGCCTAACTCAACCCTACAAAACTGATTTGTAAGGTGAGGGTTGCCCAAAGTGGTTTGTTAAATATCCGGTATATCGCCGGTATACCGGTATTGCGTATCGGAATTTTGGCTATTCGATACGAAAGCCGGTATAGCATTTCAATTCCGCGATGGAAGAGAGGGGAGTAATTGGTTCGTTCTGTTAAACTGGTGGAACATTGAAAAAGTAAAACGTGCATCTGTTCATTCTATTAGAAAAGGATAAAGAGAAAGAGAGGAGAGTAATTGGTTCGTTCTGTTATTTTCTGTTTTGCATTCAGTGAATGTTAGTTATAATAACTCACACTAGTGAGTTTATATAGAGTAACCTAGAGTAACTAACTGTACTGTGCTGACTGACTCAGCATCAGCTAGTTACACATTTAGGGAAAATATCTTTTCACTAACACAAGCCTTTCTTAAGGCACTACTCTACTATACTCTATTACATTCTTCTTGTTCGTTCATTCTTTGGCTACTCTTTCTGTTTTTAGCTCTCTATTTTAGTTGTTGGAACTTGAAATTTTCAGTTTGAATTGTTTTTTTTAATATCTGTTTATGTAGCTTTTATTTGTGAGTCATGTTCTATTTTCTAAATAAAAATAATTTTTTTAGCCGCTGTGCGGCTTCCGTTATTTGCCCACTACGCGATCTGATATTTCTCATATCGGTTTTTTGGCAATCCACTATTTTCCGCTATTGATATTTGACAACACTGTCCCAAACTTTATAAACACTGCACATGACATATCTTTAAACAATGTGAGAGACTAAGTCCACCCTTCAAACCCAACACAATAGAGGTGTTGGAAGTTGCAATGAAGGTAAGCCAAATGCCACTATTAGGCGACTAGGGGCAGAGAGCAGAATACAGTAACTGAATGCATACATTAAGTTGTCAACCATATAGTTTAGGTTGACAACTTCATTTCTTTGAACATGAAATGACCGTGACTTCTATAGGAGAAATAACTATGATATTTGTAAACAAGAATTAATATGTGATCTGCATTAGTTTTGACAAAATCTAACATACAATTACATTACATAAGCAAAGAGTACGTCTATCACAGACCAGAGATCTGCATAGAAATAATTCCCCTAAAACATGGTGCACGGGCATTGGTTATCTTGTATGTTATAAATCTGTCATTTTATTTTTTTTAGATATGCAAAATAGAATGACATGAGCATGGTTATTTATTTGTAGATATGTTATGAATTATATAAGTTTTACTCGGGCAAAGTTTTTCTTCATGTTAATGCTGGAAGAATCTTTTTTCTTAATTGTGTAGCTTTAGTGTATTTTATCCTCAAAGATGTAATTGTGCTGCAATAATAAGTTAGTTAGTAGCAGTCCATACAAAATAATGAAGTACAATATTTTTTAAACTTTTCTTTTTTACTGATCATGGATCTAATATTACTGCAGGGTGAGGCACTTGTTATGGGATATGATGACATGGGGTAAGTAATTCCCTTTATTTTTAGAATATCGCTTGTCTCACTCAAGGGGATGTCTTGATTTTGTAAACTTTTCACGATAAAAACTGTAATTTAGGTGGAATTGAATTTTGGAAATATCAGATTGAAGAGTTCTTGGTAGATGTATTTCTAGTTTAGGAACAAATGAACAGTTAACCTTCAACTATAGAGATGTTCAAGATTTCACTCGTCCTCATAATGATTGCATTGGTTAATGGTTTTCAAAAAGTGGTAAATAGTTCACCAACAAGTAATCGTTAGGGTTGTTTATTATTCCTAAAATGAAAACAATCATTTCTTGAAATTCCTTCACTCATGTTGTTTCAATCATGTATATAAAATGTGATGGGTTTGAATATTGGATATGATCTAGGATGGGGTAGAAATATTTAAACAAGGATCCATTTTGGATAAACTTTTCGTGTTATACTCAAGATGAATGAGCCCTTTCTCTAAAATGACAAAACTTATATATATATAGTACCCCTACCTGCAGCTAGTATTGTTATATGACATGTCAGATTCTGCTAGACTACCATACAGTTTCTTAACAAAATACCGTGAAGAAATGAACAAACTTGATAAATATTGTGAAGAAATGGACGAAGGTTTTATGACCTCAACCCACCACCAAAAGCTAGCCGAAGGTTTGTAAATTAACTAGGCCGTATACAAAAATAACCACACTAGTTGATGTCGGATCTCATCACCCATCTCATCTAGGATAGGCCATGATTGGTTGAAATGAAGGCAACCTAGGGCTGGCTTGCAATTAAGGTAGCAAGGGATGGGGATTGCAAAATCATGAATTGCAAAATCAAAGTATCCTAGATTGGGAACTTTGATAGTATCTTAGAATTTTTAAACCTAACCCATTTCTAAAAGTCAGCTCAAGGAGTGAGGATTTCCCCAGTCTTATAAGGATTTCTTGAGATAAGGTTGGAAAAACTCTAGCCCCTCGTGTAAAAGGTACAAGGCCACAATTTTTTATTTATAAAAAAGAACAAATCGGTTTTGTAAAGATGAATCAAGTGTTATCCAAAAATCTAAGATGGTATTAGAGTTTATCCATCAAACCACTCACCATATTATCTACGCACCCAGACCAATATTGCTGGAGCGAGGAAATGTATTTGGAAAACTGAAGTCCCACATTAAGAAGAGATAAGGTGTGAAACAAGTTATCTACGCACCCAAACCAATATTACTGGCGAGAGAGAATGTGTTTTTGGAAACTGAAGTCCCACATTAAGAAGAGATTAGGTGTGAAAAGAGTTTATAAAGAAGAACGTTTACAACCCGATTTTGTAATTATGAGTTAACCCCAATCCAAAAATCTAAGACCAGTGAAGAGAGTAAATTAGATGGAGGGTGGGCAATAGCTAGATATAGAGGGAGATCAAGAAAAGTTGCAAGTTAGAACTATACCATTAATAAGGTATTTTCTAGGGATTTCGGGAATTTTTTCTTTATATTTTAAAATGCGGGAAAAGATAGAATCCTTTCGTTACGCTCTTTTCAAAGAAAGCTCTTTTTTGCTCTAACTTGAGAATCAAAACAACTTAGATTTGATTAGGAAATTCAAGATTGGGAAAGATAGAATACACTACGATTATTTAGTGACAGTTACATTAAGTAACATTTGTAAGATACAAAAATGATTCAAATTTATAAATGAAATATTTGCTAAACTGAACACATTTCACAAATGGATATTTGATCCGTCAATCTTAAACTATACTCCCTCTGTTTCAAAATGAGTGTCGTTTTAGCAAATAAAATTTGTTTCAAAATGAATGTCATTTTCACTTTTCAATGCAGAAATGATTGTTATTTTCCCAATTGTGTCCTTTAATTATTACACTTTACTCTACTTCCAACACATTTATAAGGTTAATTTAGTAAAAGTGCAATGTCTTATGACAACATTATTACATTCCTTAATCTGTGTGCAAAAATCTTAAACGACACTCATTTTAAAACGGAGGGAGTAGTATTTATGGTGCTCAATGGAGGCTCCTCGTTCCCGTGGGAACATATAGTGAGACAAATCCTGCAATATCTTGTCGACCTTGTCTAGAACCATTATGAATTACCTAATGAGATTAAAGAGTATATGAATATATGAATAATAGACTTGGTCTATGCTTACTACTCTTCCTGGCATGATCTTTTATATGCTATAACCATGCAAATATTAACACAAGATCAACAACTCGTGAAGTGAATATGCATACATGCACATAATCTAAAGACTAAATAATCAAAGTTTGGAAAAACCAAATTCTAGGTTTGCAACACAAAGTTCGAGTTTCACCCAAATTGGTTCGATTTTGTTGGAGATGAGAAATAGGATATTAGAGTAAAATGAGAAAAATAGGAATTGGTGAGAAGAGATGAAAAATACGAAAATTTTCACAAACTCAGATGGAAAATAGGTGATTTCACATTTTCTACTTTCCTCTATGGCTACACCTAAGTATTCACTTTTCCACTCGAGCACCCTATCTATATACCTAGTCACTTGATTAAGATATGCCATTTGCATTAAAAAGTGAACCTAACACTAATTCGGTTGTGCATTTTTATTACTCTATCTGTGAGGTTCCAGGTATAAACTATGGAAACCATATCTGAGAGCAGTTATGGAACGCGACATGAAATTGGTCAGTGAAGGGAATAAAAGCAAAGGTGAAGTCCTGCATACTAGCTTGCAGCAGATGAGAGCTTGTTTCACAGATGTATGCTACTATTTCGTTCTTTCTATGTAATCATTAATTTTAGCGATCAAGATTTGGTTCTGCCGTCAAATTTATAATCCTTATTGAAAAATATGTCATGTATTTTGCATTGGGAGGACAGACCTTTATTTATTTAGTATTTTATATCATTTGTAGTTTATTGTGGTAGGTTTCTAACTCATATTAATGACATGTGAGGGTAGTTGGAAGTTCTATTATATCTTTTAACTTTTTTTCTGCTTCAAGATATTTTTCTCCGCTTTTATATATCTCAATTTCCTATATACTTTTTCATACTCTATTTTTATGTTATGTTTCTTCTTGAAATTTGGTATATAAATATCATTCCTCTTTACAAGAAACAACATAAATCTAATTGCCATATGTCACCAATGAAGAATGTCTTCACAATAAAAGGATTGTACCAAACCTTTATGAATTATATGCATCTGATCCCTTTTCAATTATTATAACTCCCTTAGAATTTTTTTTTGGCGGGGAAGGATGTGTTGTGTTCTCATTTGATTTGGGCATGTCGCTTTTCTCCACTAGTCTTGGCATTAGATCAAGGGGATTTTAAGCAAAATAAAATGTCTAATACTTTTTAAACTTATTTTTGGAGGTATTGATACAAAATTAATGTAAGTAGGTTTTCCATGCCATCTGCCCGATATGATCTTTTCTCCTGATTATGGACAATGTGTACTTCAATAATTGATCACTTGTAAATGTATGCAGGCAAGATTAAATAAAGTGAAGCTTTTAGAAGCCATGACAATATTTTTCGAAAGGTAGTTATCCCTTCACCTTTGGCCTCATGGATTCTTCGATGTATAAAATGTTAATGGATCTTCATCCACTCTTGCAGATCAAATAGAGTTGGCAATGAGCATCAAAATACAACCGTGGAAGTTGTTCGGCGGTGTGGACTTTGCCAAGAATCAGATATGGTGCTAAAGAAAAATCGAGTATGTTTTTAGGTAGTTGTGGTTTCCTAGGTGGAAATAATGGCATTACATGAGGTCTGGGAGGAAGTTCTAATGTTTGTTTAATTGCTGGGTGAGAGTTTAAAGAGGGTTTAAGGTTTGTCTGGGAGGGGTACTTAGGTTAACTTAATAATAATCATACACAATAATTTTACTACCAACTTTTTTAATAAGCGTAAAAAGTGTCAAGGGATCTTATAACTTGGGATAGTGGGAGTACTAACAATATTTGCATTGGCCGTTTCAAAAAAAGTTAGGCCATTTTTGTGGATTCTTTTAATGTGGCAGTTAATCAACTGGACTTCAACAAGAAGGAATGTAGTTGTGGAAGTTAGGTTGTTTGATTTTATGGTTTGCAACAGGAAACATAGGGGGAGCACGATATATCTAGTTGATATAAAATTGAAGTATGAAATAATTTATCCTTGAATTACAAGTGAATTTTGCAGTGTTTCTATATTATGTATATTGTGCAAGAGGGCATGCTTAATTATAATCTTGATATTGTAGTTTTAAATCATTCATCTTATTTAAGTTTAATATTATATTATCATCTACCAGGATGGCAAATTTATGGTTGGATGCTTGGGTTATCCTCAGGTTTCTGTTTTTTGACCCTTTTATTCAGTCTCTTGTTAATTTATTTATTATAAAAAAGCTTTCCACTTGGAATTGCCAATACATCATGGAAGTGTTTCCCTGTCCCTCACTGTCCCTTCTTTTGATTATAACCTATTGGCATTAAAATAAATTTGCCTTTCTCATAAACAGTGTAGAAGTGTTGTCTGGCTCCCTGGATCAATATCAGAAGCGGTTGTGACCACCAATACTTGCAACAGTTGCACTCCTGGTTTGTGACTTAATAGATAGCATTAAGATACTTGATTAGCTTCTTATTCAAAAAATACATTGATTTGCATGCTAATGCGTGGTTTTGGTTCTCTCTCTTTACCTCCTTTTTAAATTAAAAAACTTGCGACCACTTAAGGAGGCAAAGTTTTATGTTGTAAAACTAGAAAATGCTCACCCAACACATACTTAATGTGAACTGTTGATTTTTTTTTCTTTTCTTTTAATTCTAAAATATTGGAAAAATTGCTCTGATATCTTAGATTAGTTCTTTAGGATTGGTAGTGGGATCCACAAGGCTGAACAATTGGTCTATAAACCAGCCTAGTGACATACTTGGAATGTGTGCTCTAAGCAGATGAGAAGTAACTGTCTGATAGTATTTATGACAATGAAATAATTTTGGAAGAATTGATTAATGGTAATTTGTGATCTTGATAAATGGATTAAAAGGATTGAGACACAATTTGAAGTTCAAGATATCAAGTTGGCCAAATTAAGTATGGAGGGAGTCACATCTAGTGTTTGTCAAGGAAGAATGAGGATCCTCTCATGAAAAAATAACTTGGGAGGGCAATAGCGTCGAGATTAAAGGGGAAAATAATGGAAATTCCTACGAAGAATTAACCAAATTAGAGCAAATTGGAAGTGTAGAATAGTAATTAAAGCAGTTGAGGTATTTCTCTGATTTACTGTCCTTTATCTTCTACATATATTAACGTGGCTTGGTCGTTTCCCCATGATAGCTAACTTTTAAGAGAGGGTTCCCTAAGTGCTTGAATACATATTGAATGGTGCCATAGCTGGTTATTAGTATATCTCAGAAAGGGCTACATATGAAGGAGCTAACCGGAAAGGCTGAGTGAAGTGTAGTAGAGTGCAGCTGTTGGGGCGTTAGCTTTCAGGGGTGGTGCTATGATAGGGACTTCAATACTATAGGGTGTATATGTGCGACATCTAGTAGTATGAGATGCTAAATAGAATATTTAAGTTGTTTAGTTCTCCCTCCTTGATAACTTGCTTTTAAGGGAGGGTTTCCCATGTGCCCGGATACTTATCACATCATCTGTAGTTTTGCCAATTCAAATGATCAATTGCTGGATGCTTTTACAAATGTTTTAGAGCTTCTTGAATAGGCTATATTTACGATATGATTGGCACATATGACCTATGACTCAGCTTGAGGAGTATTAGAAGCTTGCATTATTATGTAAATGTCCAAGTTCAACGTAGAATGTGTAGGTTGGACCAAACTCAATCCTATAAAACCGGCTCGTAAGGTGAGAATTGCCCCTACTTATAAACATATGTTCAGGCTATATATTATCCGATGTGGAGCTCTTAACACCCTCTCTCACGCCCAGGAAGGAATTACGCCTGGAGCATAGAACTAAATGGTGGGTGGTCCAATGGATCTTAGATGAGGCTCTGATACCATCTTAGAATATGTGGGTTGGGCCTAACTCAATCCTATAAAACCGGCTTGTAAGATGAGGATTGCCCCCACTTATAAATACATGTTCAAGCCATATATTGTCCGATGTGGAACTCTTAACATATAGTAACTAGGGAAATTGTAACTTCTATATATTACATTCGTCATATAAATATTTAGCTCATGGTGTAGTTGAAACACATTGTTTTCGGTATACGCCTCTCATATCTCTCTCAATAGTATAGGTCAACTGGTCTGATATATATTTTAGTGATGTTTGTTCCATGTCTTGTTAGATATTATTTTAATCTTTAATTGTAGAAAATATTACAGGTCCTGTTTTCTTAATTCAATTCAAGTTTCGGCAGCTGGAAATACCACCAAGCTACAATGTCAACCATTTAGGTAGGTGCATGTCCTTTTTAGGATGGATTTTCTTGACATTTTTAATTTGTGAGATTACATTCCCAACTGTGTAAGTATATAGGTGGACCTTTACATTTTTTAAATCCCAATCTGGTGACAACATTCATTGCAAGTTTGTATGCTTTGAAAAGTGAATTTTCCCATAATTTAGTATTATCCGACAAAGGAGCAATTAGAAAGAAAAGAATATGAAAAAATGATTCTTTGAAATATTGATTCTTCAACATATAAATTCATTTGCATTGATATGAGAGTTACTCAAACCCTTTTAAGTGGAAGCACTTACGTTTTGTAAATACATGTGTTAATAGGTTGCATTGGTGGCTGTGATGAGATTCTTACACAGTTGACAGAAATATGTGGCACTGGCTCTCGCATGCCAGGTATGTATAGATGGATAAATAGCTAGTAACATTTACAAAAATATATTTGGATTGTACATATTGTTTCATATGAAACATTGGCTCAGTGTAAGCTATGTTTTAAACTGAATTAGATTGTGTTAATAGTTTAGTCTGCTGATAACAGCTGCACATGACATACAATTGTCAGCAATATAGGGTTTTACTTCCCACCTATCAATATCAGAACAAGGAGATTCAGTTGAGATGTTATATCGTTGCTGCTTGTAAAAATAAATCAAAACTGGGCTGTTATATAGTATATATAGTATTTTACCTTCTTTGGCTATTCAACATGAAATGAGCTTTTATAGAATTTCGCAGTTACAAGTCTGTAACAAGGTAGAGTGGATTTTAAACCTGTTTATTGCCATTCCAATTGCTTTCGTGCATATGTATTAGAATCCAATAATTATACCTTATCATTTTTTCCAGCAAGAGCTCGAGGACCTACTCCAGCAACCGGAAACACCGATCATACCAACCCAAGGCAGTCAGCTTGTTTGCACTGTCAAGAAACAGGGCACTCTTCTAATGATTGTCCTTCACAGACTCGACGCTTCAGGAATGCTCAACAACCTGAAATGAACCAACAAAGTGGTAAGGTCTCTGGAATTTAAAAATGCCATAACAGTGTAGACAGCCTAGAGAAATAAGAAATGTATGACATTTTAGTATGGACATTGGGAAATGAGCAAGTAGTGAGAGTCAACCAGGGATTTTATTACTAGACATGGTTTATTATGAAACTTCAGGGCTTTGTATATGATTGACCTCACCTATTGGCAAAGGCTTTTATTGTTGTCTACTAATTTCTCTGTCTCATTGCTACACTAGTTGAGATTATGATTTGTGTTCATATGTATATTTTTTTATGAAGATCTTAAAAATAAGAATTGAATTATTCTCCAATATAGGAAAGAAATCTTAATTTTTGCACTAGTTTTAGTTTTTCTTGCAAATCAGTTATCAATATATTTTTCCGTCGTTGTTTACCAGCTGTCAATATCAATACTGAAATTTAAGGGATTCTATCTTTTAGTAAACCTTTACACAATGCAGGAGAATCTTCTGTTTCATGCAGCTCATGTGGAGCACCAGGTGTTTTGCGAACTGCAAATACAGCAAATAACAGGGGCAGGAGGTTCTACACATGTCAATCACAGGAGTGCAGCTTCTTTGTGTACGTGAACTCCTAATCCATGCCAAAATTATTGTAACTGTCACATCATTGACACCCGCGTTGTCTAGAGTATATAAAGTAGAATAAATAATCTTCCAACCTTGATTTCTTTTCATCCATAAATAACACAAGCTGACCTTAATTTCAATATTATTTGAAGAGACACACTCTATTTCATTATTTGCTGGATAATATCTCTCAAGCAGCTTAGAGGAACATAACATATTGCTTGTTATTGAGATAGCTATTTGCTTATGTTAATGTTATCACCTCTATTACAGATGGGAGGATAGCCTCAATAATGGCGGTGGAGGAAGAGGTTCTGCACGTTCAAATAGTATTCCAACATCCACCCGTGGTCGAAATCGTGGTCGTGGACCTCGTGGTAGGGGTCGGAGTGGATCTAATTCTTCTAGCGGGACATTTGTGACAGCCACTGGGGATCCTATTTCTGGTAGAAGGTGCTTTACCTGTGGTGATCCATCCCACTTTGCTAACGCCTGCCCCAATCGTGGAAACTGATGTCTTACTGATTCTCATCAGCCAGAAGGAAGTTTTGGTAGGAGATCCAGAACCTCTATTTTGCATGTGTTTAAGAAGCATCGATACATCAACTATGTTGAATATAGCATGTATTACGATACTTTGTACTGGTTCTAATATGCCAATGTTAACTGTTTTATTCATTTGATCATTGTTCATGTCTGGCATAAAGGAACTTGTAGAATTTGCTTATTGAATATTATGAATCATTAAAGATTCATTTTCAGTTTGATCTTTTTAGGTTAGGGTGGAGATTTAATCCCCGTATCCCATCACTTATGGGATACATGTATGCCCTGAAGCCATTTGATAGGGTTTGTGATCTATCAACTGATTCCCGTCAGTATGTCATATGTAAACTTATATTAGCCCCCCTTTATCTGCAAAACTATTTAAAAAAAAATAAAAATCGTGTTTGTTTTACTTACAAATAAAGATACTAGATTTTTGAAGTGAACATGTTATTTTATGGAAAATATTAACTAGTGTTCTGAGGAAAAAGAGTGTGCTGAGGGCATTGGTTAGCAAAATCCTTATTTTATTTATCTCTAGTTTATTTAAAGAAATTAAAATGGACACAAATTTTAAGAAAATGATGACACAATATTTTCATATAAAGTATAGACGACCTTATATTTCCTCTAAAGAAGTCCTTAAAGAGTAATCTACACTTGTTTAAGTTACTTTTCTATAAAGATCGCATTTTTCCTACCATTTTAAATCAGGAATTAACAATATTATGAGAATTTCATCTTACCTCAAACCATTCTAGCCAGATAATTCCATGCTCACATATGGTAGAGGTTATATTGAAGAGAATTGAAGCAAAAACGGAACACAAGAATTTGAAAAGAGAAAGATTGACTTTACAAAAATCGTGCCACATTGTGCCATAATGAGGGAAGATTATGGCAGGATCTTGTGATAAAAAAAGTTTGTCTTGCAAAAATTCTATCACGATTAGGGAGAATCGTGATAAAATTACTAAATAATTAGTTTAGGAAATTTCTTATTACATCTTATATAGGTGAAAAGGATCTTATGAAAATTCAAAATTGCCCATCTATTTTTGAAAGTATATTTCGGACGCACCCTTTATACCACATAAATGCGATCAAATGTGGTGCTACCCTATAATGAAAAATAAAATAAAATTATGGAGATATATCTATGGAATTATAATATAATTATTTGATTCATAATCATTACAGGAATATGACCAGAGATTTATCTTCGATAAATTAGTGCAGGAAATTGAAATTCCTGTCACCTTTGCAGGTCAGATATTTCTAAAGATGTATTTTCGAAAAAATCAAAAGTCAAATTGCTAAAAATAGCAACCAAGATGAACCAACATGATCATCATTTGCAATAGTTTCTTTAAACCTTCTCCAAAAATCCTTCCATTCTCAATCAAGTTTTTCACTCCAAATCTTCATTCCCGTCTTTCATCATATCAAAAGGAGTTAAAGGAAGTGAAATTTAAGGCAAAGTTCATTCATTTCAACCTCCATTCATTATATTAATATGGTTTTTCAATAAAAAGGTCACACTTATACCAAAAGTATATTTTGGAAACACAATGAACTTGTTCGGAGATACATTTTCAGTATCCGTCTCTGCTGATTTTTATCTTGACGTAATGGGAAGTAATGCAAGAAAGATTTTTGAAAGACGATGACAATACAAAACTCCACATCAAATAGAAATTGAGGAAGATTGCATTTCCGGAGACCATAGACTTGAAACCACCTTCTTAACCAGTAGAAACAAAGGAGCACCTAAGAAGGTCAAACCCACATCTGGTGACAATTCAACAACGAGTCCATCATATTTCAAACACGATGACAAATTTTTTCTCGATTCACCGACTCTGAAATATCAAAAAAGCGTTTTCAAAGGAGTTTGCATTAGCAAATCACTTCATACACCGCCTCCACCAAAAATACCATTCATCAAGGAGATGTCGGTTTTTATGCACAATTATATTGAACGGATTGTCAATGTTAGGGGTGACAGTAACTCTGGTTTTCAGGTTGCGTCTGCTTTGCTCAGTAAAAGAGAAACGGATCACACACTTGTCCGCCATACCCTTATCAAAGAGTTGTAGAACAATAAAGAATTATACACACAGGTGTTTGGAAATAAAGAACAAGTTGAAGAAATTTATCACACTCTTGTACCTTGCATTAATACACCAGATGTGTCATGTCATAGCAAGTGTGTATGAAAGAATGTGTATTGATTTTACAAGATACAGTTTCTCGGAAACTTTTTTCTCACTGCGCACTGCTCCACAACCAAATTCCAATGATCATATCATTTGTGTTAGGTGAGTTTCAAATCCGTGACATTTTTTAAGTGTATTTGAAACCGGGATGTCCTATACCACTTACATCACCAGAATGAGAAGCTCATTATACAATCCAATCCGAGAATTCGTCAGACCAATTTATTGAAAGGATGTAAGGGTACACCGAATTGAATAACATTGAAATAGAAAAAAAATAAGGAAAAGTAAAAGAGGGACCCATATGTAGGTTTGACCGATGACAAATATTTTGGTTCATTTAAGTAGTTATTTACCATTTTATGGTATATGAAAATTTGTTAATGTGTTATGTTGTCTAATATAAGCACTTTGTAGTTTGACCAAACAATTCAACATTCAATACAAGTTTATGTTGTTGTTTTGTTTCTCTTTTCTAATACCAGTGACGTTTCCGGAAGTACATCTCCAGAATAAACAAATAAATGATGTTTCCGAAGTTACATCTCCAGAACTTTATCTGTCACAAGGTAAGATTTGTGTGGTCCATATTAGCATCCCACCATTATAAATAAGCTCACTTGTCATATTATTTTATACAAAAAAATCAGAATGAACATCAAATGACATGTTGAAAATATTCACTATACTGACAATACACCATCAAGAGAATTTAATATCAACGAGTACATCCCTCTTGAAGATATGTAATACATATTGCTGAATCTTATACCATATGATAACAATCGCAAAATTATGAAGATCGAGTATCACTCGCTATCCGTTGACAAAGAAGGGAAACTTGAGTTCATCAACCATGAGCTGAAGACGGACGCTAATTTACAGGGTATATGGAATACTTTTTCCCATTTAGAATAAAAAGTTCCGATCGAGCTGGATGTGACTATTTCGAGATCGATCAATGATATTATCGAGATGTTGCAACTTCCACCTGAATGTTGAAGTATAATATTTAATCTATGTTAAAATCCCTTTATGTATTGCTTATTTTATGATATCAATGGTATTTTGATTTTGTGAAGTTAGTGTTTTTCATTTCTATTTTTCTGTATTTTGCAAAGCATTATTTCGAAAATACATAGTGGATTTGAATTGGAAAATACATCTTCGAAAAACTATGTGATTTAGTACATCTTTGGTGCGTCACAAAGATGTGTCTCCGGAATCAGAGACATTTAAGTATTTTTGTGCGGTGCGCTAGAAATTCATAAGATGCGTTAAGAAACTCCCTTAGTTTATTGAAAATGTGCTACGACCATAACATATCATGACACAATTTATTTGCGACCCAAATTGACACGTCAATTTAATGAAAAATCATGGCATAATAATATTGCTCCCCGTTATGATTTTCTTATCACAAAACCCTTTTATTTATACTAAAATTACCAATTTACAAGAGTTCATATGTCCCCGACGTCTGCGCCAGACCCACTGCTCTTCTTGAATAGTTAGAAGACATTTTACATTCTGGTTTTTCAAATCTGATAACCTGATTTTATAAGTGTTGTTCTTCCTCTTACCATTAAACAAAACTGAGCCATCCTTCTGACTTATAACTTTATAGGACATTTGATTAAAGACGACATCATAACCATTATCACTAAGTTGGCTAATTGACAATAAGTTATACATCAGACCCTCGACTAAAAGAACATTGTTAATAGAAGGATTTACCATTACCAACAATTCCAGAGCCAATGATATTTCCCTTCTGATTTCCTCTGAAACCAACAACGTCTCCATACTTAAGTTCCAAATCTTAGAACATATGCCTTTCGCCCGTCATGTGCTGCAAGCATCCACTGTCCAGATACCATGACTGGTGTCTCAGTGGAACTATCAAGGATATCTGCAATATAGATTATCTCATCCTTGGGTACCCATTTTCTGGGTCCTTTCTTGTTAGCAATTCCACAGGTTCTGACACATCTGGAGTCTTGTGCAGAATGATAATCAAGTGGAATTTGTGCATGATATTTAGTCTTAGAAGTTTCCTTCTGTGTCTATGGTTGTGTTTCAATGGAATCAGAATCTTCTTGCTCTGGACATTTCAGTTCAGTGCCAGTAAGCACGAAATGTTCAGAAAGAGGTTTTAGTTTGACACTCAGAGTCTCATCAATTATTTTTTACGGTCCTGAATATCCCAAGCCTATACTTCTATTTCTGCTAACACCATAAATCATTGAAGCCATCTTGCTTCTATCTATACCTTTAGCTAAGAAATGCTAAAAAGCTCTATCATATATGATTACTTCATCAGTAATAGATATGCTAGAAATAATCTCTTCTTCCAACCTTGAGACTTTACTTTTAAGAGCATGATTTGATTTTCCTATAACAAATAATTTTTCATTTAAGTCAGAAAAGTTTTGCTCATTCCTAGTAGAGTTCTCAAAAGTAACTACAAAAGTCTTTTTCAGAGTTTTGTGTTTACTTAGAAGAAGTTGGTATTTTCTCATCATTCCAGATAAACAAGATTCAAGTTCAAAACGAGAGAGAAGCAATTACCTCTGCTTTGTCTTCAGAGTCTGACTCATCATTAGCTGTCAGCTCACACTCTTAGATAACTTCATTTATGCTTGTATTGGCCATGTGTGCCACATTAGCATGTTCTTCATCAGAGTCTTACTCTTATAATTCTGAATCATCCCATGTTGCCATGCGACCCTTTGCTTTGAAGACCTTC